TCCCTCAGCCTCTCCTCGTAGTGGAGATGTTCCAGTCCCCTCACCATCCTTGTAGCCCTCCGCTGGACTCTCTCCAGTAGCTCTTCATCTTTCTTGAACTGGGGAGCCCAGAACTGGACACAGTACTCCAGATGAGGCCTCACCAGGGTAGTGTAGAGGGGAAGGAGAACCTCCCTCGTCCTGCTGGCCACACTCTTCTTGATGCACCCCAAGATCCCGTTGGCTTTCTTGGCAGCCAGGGCACACTGCTGGCTCATGGTTAACCTGTCGTCCACCAGGACACCCAGGTCCCTCTCCGCAGAGCTGCTCTCCAGCAGGTCCACCCCAAGCCTGTACTGGTACATGAGGTTGTTCCTCCCCAGGTGCAGGACCCTGCATTTGGCTTTGTTGAACCTCATCAGGTTCCTCTCTGCCCAGCTTTCCAGCCTATCCAGGTCACGCTGAATGGCAGCACAGCCTTCTGGTGTATCTACCACACCTCCCATTATCCCACACCTTTCCATTTTCCTGAACTTGAAGCTCTAGAAGGGGGACAAATACCTCGAAACACCTGCTATCCTGCATTAGTAAAGCTTCGTGCTATTGAATTTCCTATTAATTATTTTATTAGCAGTGTATTTGTTCTTTGTAACACCTTAATGATGAGTTATACATTTGCAGTTACTGCTGGTGATGCTATTATGGCTAGCTGGAAAATAATATGTGGTTTTCAAGCACCTGTCCTAATTTCTGCCTTGTGGGAGTGGATCTCATGGTCCCACTTAAAAATGTTTGGACTGTGCGGTGAAAAGAATAGTCAGACTGTCCCCAGCTGCAGACAGTTTTACTGTGTGGTGGTCAGAGAAAATACTGTCCCTACGCTCCTCTTTCGGGTTGATACTTCTCCTCTTGCCCCATCAAGACTGTCGGAGGAAGGAAGATGGTGGCATGTGAACCGTTGCAGCAGAGGGTGTGTATCATGGACGGGGTTATATGCATGGCTCATTGTGCAGCACACACTGTGTTTGCACCAGTCTCGTGCCCCTGCCATCCACGTTACCTTTGGTAGGCTGCCTTCCCCTTCTGCCAGGACCACATCCACCCTGGCCAGTCCCACTCGAACTAGATGATTTTCTTCACCTTCCTGCAGTCAACTTTCCACCATGAGGAGGCATTGTCTGTCCCTTGATTTTGTCTTTCTGAGGCTTAAGAGATTTTTGTTTGCATCAGCTTCATTCCATGATCCCGGTGTTTAACTGCTTTGGGATTAATGAGTCCCCAAATAGAGAGGTCCTCCAAGAGGCTGGTCTGCACTGGGGAGGACATGGCATGGGGAGAGAGGAATCCCCCAAATGTTCAAGATCCGCTCAGGCTCCAGATGACTTGAGAGGAGATGAGAACAAGATTTGGATACTCCCCAGGGGCTTATGCTATACACTAAAGGGGGAAACTGGGGGACTGGCATGCACCCCATCTCAGATTCTCGCTGCCAAATTATCAGTTTCCATCCTTGCACTGGTCTTCATGCCCATTCTGTTCGTTCCTCTGACCACAGCGAGCTCTCTCCTTCCCTCGTTCTTTCTCAGTCCCCCTTTCCCAGTTCTGTTTACTTCTCTTTCTCCATTTCCTCACAGAATGAATTTTATTTTCAAAAACAATTTGAACACTTCAGTATCGTGTACACTCGAACCACATTTCATTTTGAAGAAAAGTTAGGAAATAAAAAAAATCTCTGGGAGCAACTTCTGCAGAGCTCCAATTCAAACTGACATCGTCAAGTTGAGTAGCTACAATGAGGTCT